TGTTGGACTTCATGTTATGGCACAGGTCTCAGTCTTGTGTCTCGTGCCTGATTGTATTTAGAGGCGTTCGAATTAATGCTACAGTGTTTTCATCCATGTATTCTTTCTCCTGTGGCTAGAGTGAGGGTTTTATTTTATTTGAAGCCAAATCCTGTAGCCCATACTCTTCAGAAGGGGTGAGATACACCTCTGTGCAGAAGGCAGAGAGACACATTCGATGCACCTCTGTGCAGGGCTAAATTTCACCCAGGAAGAATCCCATAGAAATAGAAACCAGTGGAACTCCTCATGTAAGTAAGAGCTGCAAGCCCTTTTAGTAGTAGTTCTTCTCAGATAGGAACATTATAGATGGAATTTCCAAAAGCACTCTGAGTTGGCTTAACTCTGCTCTCATTGAAGCTAAATGTAAAATGACTTCAGTGGGAACTGAGTTAAGCCAATGCTGAGTGATGTAAAAATCCTGCTCAAATTCATAACTGTATGTATCTCACTGCAGGAAGATAATTTCAAATGATTATTTAATTAAGTTTAATTAAAATGGTACACACAGCACTTATAAGACAAAATATACAGCTGTGTGGGAAATGATTTTCCCATACCACAACTATTGTCAAGAATTTGATTTTTTTCCCCAGCTTGAATCAGGATGTAAAATGTAAATCTCAAAAATATTTCTGATGCAAAACTGATATTTCCCCCACAATTCAGGGCAAAACATTTCATTCTGCTAATTTCAAAATGTTTAGTTTCAGTTTCAACCTTTTTTTCTTTTTAAACCTTTTTGTGGGTCTAATTTGCTTCAATTTTGAAACAAAAAGTTGTTTTGAACCAGTAAACTGGAATTTTTAGTTTAAAAAATGTCAAAACAAAAAATGTCTGAACAATTTCAAAACTTTTATTCTCAACACTTTTTGAGTCAAGGAATTTGTCTAAAGTGCCCCTGTTTTGCTTTCAGTGTTGATGAACTGGCATTTTTTGATTTGCAAAAAAAATTGTTGAAAAATTCCCAATCAGCTCTAATAAAATTCCTCCCACTTATATAATCAGTATTCTGCTCCAGAACTTATATACAGGTTCAATATATGCCTGCTTACTAAAACAGAGAGAAATATGAATCTGAAGTTGTAGGGAGTGAAGTAAAATGATATGAGTGCAGAAAAGTATAAAAAATTTGGCTGAAATTATAATTGTTTTAATTAAAAGTAATTGCCTAAATCCTTAAAGTAATCAGAAATTTCATAGACTGATTCTCAAGTAATTAGCCCATCTATTCCTTAATATTTCAGTTTCTTTTGTTACAGTTACTGTTGGGTTCGTTCAAGTTTACTGTCTATAGCCTTACCTCCTTGTGCTGTGATCCTGGCAAGATGGGTCATACGTTCCTGGCATAACTGCAAGAAGCGTCCAGGTGCTGCAGGAAATAGTATTTATGATTCTGCAAGTAGCACTCTTCCCTTTGAATCAGTACTGAACCAGTCTGATAGTATAATGCTAGGGAGCAGTGGAGATGCTGTTTATCAGACAAAGTTTAAAATGGAAGTAATCTACACTTGTGGTCATTAAACATCCTGTGTTGGTTTTCATAGCTGCTACTCTAATTGTCACAACAGGAATCTAACTCATGTAAATATATTCTGCCTATCAAACCCCCCAATTTCAATGCAGCTTCAATTCCCAGGTAATCCTGCAGTATTCTTTATTTCCTGTCTCAAATTGTCATCTTGCACTGCTGTAGTCAGTTAAGTGCAATCCTGGTGTTGAGTAATGTGACGAATACATATATTTTGCCCACCTCTCCCTGAAGTGTTGTGAAGCTCAGTATATCAGTGTCTGTAATATGGTCTGAGATCTTGGATGAAAGGCATTACAGAAATGAAAAGTGATATTCTGTGCAGAAAAATATACATTTAAATGGGGTCTGCTGCAAAATGTAAAGTTAGAGTGCTGCAGTATTTTCCATCTCTCATGTGATACTAGAAAACTGATCATTATGGACTAGATCATTATGGACATTCTGGCCTTACTTTTGTTGAATTAAGAAAGAAGTAGTATATGTAAGTGTCTTTGACCTCCTTTTTGAGGAATCCGTGATTGTCACCTAGCAAGACTTTTATTTTAATTTAATGGATGCATTTTTATTAAAATTCCCATGGAAACATTTAAAAACAGCAAATAAACATCCTGTGCCACATTTGCAACCTAAACATTTGTCATTTTGTGTTAGTGTCTGAGAGCTAAAATATAAAACTGACTGGAAACACAAATAAAATTGAATGGCATTTTCATTGTCCAAACTGAGATAAATGCCAAAGAGTAAACAGTGTAAATAGTAAACAAACAAACAAAAAACCCACAAAGAAAAACCAGTCTTTTAAATTTTTCAAATTTTCTTTCAGTCAAAGGAGTTAGTAACTTAAAGAAGAAAGATTGCTTTTTTTTTAAATTATTTTACCCTGACAGTGTCCCCTTAAAGAAGAATCACAATGGCAGTTGTATATTGAAGGCATTGCTCTCACATAGCAGTTTAATAAACTGTATACAGAGGAGGGCACATTCCGCCTGCTTTCCAAGGCCACAGAAGTTCCTGGATGCAGGAAAACCAATGCAGTTCTGCTATGCGAGAAGGAAAGAAGTCTGTGCAGGTATGCCCCCCATTGCATACCATCATGCTCCTTGCAAATCAGCACGGAGGGTTGTTTTAGGATCTGTACTGTGGGACCCCGAGGTCAAACGCCTTTCCAGTCATGGCAGAGAACTGGTCACAAAAGCAGCATACTAGCAACTGCAGAGTGGCACTCCACATACCCCCATCCTTTGTATTGCATGAACAGCCTGATCCAGCGCAACGGGAATCATTCCATTGGTTTCAATAAGTGTTAGATGTGGAACTAAAACTGTTTACTTGTTCTTAGCATCTGAATGCACTTACTCTCCATGGTGCCCCTATGCTGTACCTTGCTGTTATGACTAAATAAGCAAAATACACACACAGTTCAAGTTAAAACAATCCTTTTACAAACTCAAAACCAGACAAAAACAAATTTTATAGAAGATGTTAAAAATTACTTCAGAGTTTTTGGAAGAATTCAGAACAAAATCCCAATGTACTCATCTCTGCATCTGGCTAACATTAGTAGACTGTGATATACTGCATTAAAATATACTTTTTTTTTGGTGTCTGCTGGTGTATTGTGTGGATTTGCTTTTCAGGGCATGGACTATGTTTACCTCTGAGTCTAGAAAGCCTTAGCCCCTAAAAGATAGTAAATAATAAATGGGCTGTTATCTGTACATCCCAAATACCTAATCTTGCTCCCATTGAAGTTAATGGGCGCTTTGTCATGGAAGTTTGACACCTGATGGATATTGAGAAAGTATGCAATTACTGGGACATGGATGATCTTACTACTTCGGTGGCTAGGAGACTAGTTAAAGATGTTTGATTATGGCATATACCTCTGCATTTCTGTATTTGTTTTATGGTGATGGCAACCTTCTGGCTTGTATTTTTGTAAAAATTTGAAAAATCAATGATAAGTATTACAAATGTAGAACAGCACCCTCATGCAGAGAAAGAGACAGATGCAAAGCCTGGAGCACAGTAATGCTTGCCGTATGCTGCTGTGTTGCTGTGCTCTGGTTCCAGGTCAGGCAAGCATGTGCTTAATTCAGTACTGATGGATTTAAGCAAGTCTTAGCAGGGAGGGTTGGAGCCAGTGTTTAAGTGCTTTCTTGGACTGGGGCTTCTCTGACTTAAAAGCCAAGTTTTGATGTTTAGGTCATGGTGTTGAATGGTGTTCTGTTTTAAGGATTGTTTGGGTAACTGGTTCAGGGCAGGATAAATATTTTTTGTGGGTAGGGCAGAAGATACTCAGGTTCTATTCTTAGCTCTGCCACATATTTGAATTTGACCTTGGGCAAGACACTTAGGCCCCAATTTTCAACAAGTGGCCTTTCATTCTGAGAACTTTAATGTTTGTTACACTAGATAGAGGCAAAATTTTCAAACCTGGTTGCCCCAAGTTAGTTATCTTAGAGATGTTGACTGATATTCAGATATGCAGAGCACAGGCAATGGGAGCTTAACTCATGTTGCGGAATACACCCAATCGGAGTACTGAGTGCTCAGCACTTCTGAAAATGAGGCCACTAGATGCCATTGGGTGGCTAAATATAGATTTAGATGCCTCACTATGGGAATCCACGCTTGAAAATGTTGCGCTATAAGGCTGAACACCCACAACTTCATTTGATATCAATGGCCAATACTCAGCACTTCTGAAAATTGGATCCTATGGTGTCTCGCTTTGGGTGGCCAAAAAGTGGAGACACCCAAAATGAGTGACACCTTTCAAAAGAGAATCCTTGATCTTTCTGTCTCAGTTTCTCCATCTGCAAAAAAGGGGTTAATATTCAGCTGCCCCAGAAGGGTGTTGAGGAGATGAGTTAAACAATCTCTGTAAAGTGCTTTGCTCTCATTCAGTGGAAGGTGAAGATATTATTTTAGTATATGGTGTTGTCAGCCACTACAGCAGTGGGTGCTGCTATATATACTACTTCTCCCACCCCACCTCTTTTTCTCTGCACGTTGTTGTATAAATCAATAGCATCCCTTTAACGAAGAATGCATATCATTTGGAGTAAATCGCCTCCCCCACTAAATTAACCTCCAGATCCCTAATGCTGGCCTTGCCTGCTGTTTCTGTCTTTCAATATTTTGTACCATTTTCGTCTCCTTCAAGAGCATCAGGAAGGAAGATTTTTAAAGGCAGGGCAAGTGCTTGGAGCTCAGCTCCGGCTCCCCTTGAGCACTGAGGGGGCCGTGGGACCAGTCTCTCGCTCCCTCTCTCTGTATCTTTAAGATCCCCTCCTCCACCTTGTCCCTCCAGCCCCTCCCTTCACCCCCCCCCCCCCATCTCCTGCTCGCTCGCTCGCTCTCTGCCTCAGCCGCTGGGCTCTGCCTGACTCGCCTCCTCGCCAGGCTCCCTGGACCAGCAGCCATGGCCGACATGAAAACGGGCATCTTCGCCAAAAACGTCCAGAAACGGCTGAACAGGGCGCAGGAGAAGGTCAGCGGAGAGCCGGGGGGAGGCGAGAGACCTGTGCCGGGGGCGGCAGGGGGCTTGTTAGCCTGGGGGGGGGGGAGAACAGGTGCAATTGGAGGGTTGCAGTTTACACTGGGGTGGAGGGGGAGGCAGCGCGCGGAGGACGCCTCCCGGGATGGATGCAAAGGGGAAGCAGCAGCAGCAAGGGGCTGCGACTGAGCATCCCCGGCTGGGGGCTGGGAAATGCATCGCTGGGGGGGGGGCGGGGGTGGGAAGCAGGCGGGCAGGGCTGCAGAAGCAATGGCACCGGGGAAGACCGCACAGGCAGCCACACACACAGCTGGTGCTGCTGCAGCAGCCCCCCGCTCCGCCCTGACAGCTCTATAGTGGCAGGCAGGGTTCCTTCAGCCACGGAGTGACCAGCCCCATATTAGGGGCTTTGTCTTATATACTCAACTATTCCCTCCCCCCCATCCCCCAAAAGTGTCTCCATTTTTCACCGTTGCTGTCTGGTCACCGTATTTGGCCATCCCCTCTGCTGACCATGCAATGGTCAATCCCCCATCCCCCGTGGTGCTGTTAACGCTCACCTTTAGCTATAGGCGTGTGCGTGTGGCGGGCAGGAGGCGGGGCTGCAGCTGCCTCTGGTTTCATAGCTAGGGGATCGGATGTATTTGTGTACTTTACTGGGGTGGAATTAAGAAGCAGGGAGAGGAGAGGAAAAATGGATGTCTGTTTTGACCCTCTTAGGGCAAGAGAGGAAAGAACCTGTTTCTTTAATCATAAGCACACAAGATCCCTAGACAATGGCTAAAAATCTACAAGACAAGACAGCCCCCATTAATGTCTGTGTGGCCTGATTGAGACAATATTGTATGCCCTTCCTCAAAGGTCAGGAGGGAAGTGTAAACTCTAATCGATGAGTGCACTACAGTGTTTCCAGTGAAACAAAATCAGTAATTACAACACACATACTGTGAATCGCCTTTGTTTTAACATAGACTTGTTCCATCAGGCTTTCTTTGACTCGTGTATAATGACAGAAGGGACAGGTAAATGCATCTCATTATGGAATGTAAAATAATCCAGGGAACCATTATCATTTTAATTTTAAATGTCTGTATAACAAATACTTTGGATAACTACCAAGTAACAGGGGGTATTCTTGCCTTAAGGACAGGAAAGCTTCTGAGGTCAGATATTATATAATATAACTGGCCCATTTATTTTTCATCTTGACTGAACTACTCTTATACCATTGTGCAGATCAATCAACCTTAGTTTTCTCAGAATAAATATTGTGCAACTAAAGTGGATTTATTTTGTTTTACTCCAGTGTTCCCCTCCCCCCCCCACACTGAATATTCCAGGGTTTCATCTACTTGCAAAATTATTGGATAATAATCTTGCTTTGGCATTCAGAGAACACAACTGGGCCAGATCCTCAGTGCATGTTCTCTACCATGGCTCCCTCAAAGGCAGTAGAACTACCGTGAGGGTCTGGTCCATGTGTCTTGTAATTAAAGATAGGCAAAATATCGGGAGAATTTTAGGCCAAATGGTAGCACAGTAGAATGCAGCACAGTAGAAGGAATACATCTGTCGCCTTGATCTGTTCACAGAAATAAAGGTTTGGCTGTCTCTTGTCCCCACCTCCACACATGCACACTTTCAATACTCTAAGAGGATTGTATTTCCTTTAATATCCTCCCAAGCTCCTCTTGAACTAAAGTGATCCTCCTCACCAAGTTCATTTGGCAGCTGAGCCTTCCTATGAAAGAGGTGGTTCTAGCTACCATCTAAATCACTCGTGTCAGTAATCCACAGTGACCACAGCATAGACAGCTGTAAGGGCTCATGTCAGCTTTTTCATTAGCAATTTTGGAGTTTGGAAATGTAATCGTGTTCCTCATTTTTTAAAAAAAATTAGTCATCATGACACTGAAAAGTCCTGAAGCTGATCACATTTCAGTTGCTAAAGGATTTAGAACCCAGTCTTTAATCAGAGAAAACTGTCACTGAAGTTAACAGGGAATTTGCAAGAGTTGGTATTGCAGGATATCCGCATTAAGCCTTATTAATTGAACCCAGTGGGTATAAATGTGCCACATAAATTTTTCCAGCTTTAAATCTCTTGCAACTATGGAAATATAAATACAAACGCTGAATTTGGACAGAAAAAATATTTGTGCATGAATGTATATATGGAGAAAATATATGCTGGCATAGTGCAGTGTAAAGGTTTTACCAGCATGAGTTTGTGATAGCCATATTACATGCGAGTGGCAAAGTCATCCCAGCTGAATGCCAATAAAACCTCTAACCCACACTATTTGCATTTGCTACGCATTTTACATAAGTGCTCTAGGGAGTTTTTAAAAATTATTTTACTGATGCTATTTTTCATAGCTCTCTGCCTATATCTCGGCTGCCTTTGTACCATGTATTCAACTCTACAGAGCTTCAAGGGAGAAAAAAATGTATCACAGATAGAATGTAGAAAACTCCCACACATAATAATGTCATCATTTTAGGATCTACTATCTGAGGCTGTCGCATGCTAAAAACAAGTCTGTATTCTATTGTTAAAACTCTCCTCTTTCAAACAGCATAAAGTTCTTGTATATCTGTCCCCGATCAGTTCCCCAAATATTGGGGTTTAAACCAGTAGTGAATATTGCCCATCCTGCAATTTGGGCCAGTGTTTTGTTTTGTTGTTTTGTTTTTTAAATAGAGAAGGCCACTGTTTGAAGTTATTCAGAGGTTTTAGTCCGAGTTGCATGAAAAATATAATTCATCTCATGATTCTGTATATCAATGGATATCACCATCATTTAGGCCCAATCCAGTAGTGAATTTAAGCGCACACTTAAAGTTAAGTAATTGTTTAAGTGCTTTGCTGAATCAGGGCCATAAAACGTATGTGTCGTTTGTGTGTGTATGTGTGTATAATGTCAATAATACCATATATTTTTGGTTTACAAGGAAATACATTTTATCAGTGGGTCTGGTGACAACATAAAGTGCAAGAGTGCAGCCAGAGTAGATTATGATGTTGCCAGATAGAGATATGTCTTTGCTTCTCTGTTCAAGATTTGCATATAGTTTTATTGCTTAAAATACACAGATCTCTACTTTACCCATTCCTTGTTTTGCCTCACAAAATCTCTCTTGCTATTCTGCCTTCAACATCTACTTATGTTTTCTCTACCTCCATATTTGTCTCATGCTTCTGCTGCCTTCTTGTTCTGCCTCAGACCCTCCCTTTGGGCTACAGGGATCTCTTCTCTAAATGCTATCTCTCACTCCCCAGACCTTTCTCTCATACTTAAACTACCAGTTAGCACTGGGTCTCCATAATGGTTATATAAGGCAAAATCTCTTAACATTTTTTTGCTAATATTTTTAAAAGCATAATTGAGAATACTAAAAGCTCCATGTGCAGCTATTTATTTTTATTTAGGTTTTTAAAATAAAAGGGGTGGGAGTTGCAGGAACTAACAGATATTTATACATTTTTATACAGGCTTTTCGCAGGTGTGATATTACACATTTTAAATGATTGAAAGTCTGATTTCTGACTTCATAGGTACAGTGTGATTGTGTGATGTACATATTGTACAACACGCGTAGACTTCAGTGTGCTATCTGGTATAAAAGAGCAATGTGTTAGAAATAAATGAGTTCTGTTTATTCAGTTTATCCCCGTGATTTGCTGACATTCTAGCAAAAGTATAAGTATTTTCCGTTCTGTTTTGTTTTTGTTTTACTCCTATAATACCTGTATCAAGGACATTGATGTTACAAGGTATTTAATGCCATAGGTCAAATCCCAGACCTAATAGCCAGACTATGGAAAAAATATCTTTTTAATGACAAATGACATAACTTTCAACTCCCTGTGTATATATATATATGTATGAGAGTGTGTGTGTGTGTGTATGTGTATATATATATATATATATATATATACAGGAGAGCCGCCAGCTTTTCTGCCGCCCTAGGAAGCGGAAGGTCCCGCCCCGAAATGCCACCTCCCACAGAGGCGGCGGAAGGTCCCACCGCCGAAATACCGCCTTGGTTGCCGCCCCCGAAATTGTAGTGCCCTAGGCAACCGCCTAGGTCGCCTAATGGGTTGTGCCCGCCCTGTGTGTGTGTGTGTGTATGTGTATGTGTATGTGTGTGTATATATATATATATATATATATATATACACAAAGGATGTTGATTAATCACAGTTAACTCATGCGATTAACTCAAAAAAATGAATCACTATTAAAAAAATTAATTGTGATTAATCACAGTTTTAATCGCATTGTTAAACAATAGAATACCAATTGAAATTTATTAAATATTTTGGATGTTTTTCTACATTTTCATATATATTGATTTCAGTTACAACACAGAATACAAAGTGTATATTATTTTTGATTACAAATATTTACACTGTAAAAATGAAAAACAAAAGAAACAGTATTTTTCAGTTCACCTCATATGAGTATTGTAGTGCAATCTCTTTGTCGTGAAAGTGCAATTTACAAATGTTGATTTTTTTTGTTACATAACTGCACTCAAAAACAAAACAGTGTAAAACTTTAAAGCCTACAAGTCCACTCAGTCCTACTTCTTCGGCCAATCACTAAGACAAACAAGTGTGTTTACTTTTACAGGAGATAATGCTGCCTTCTTCTTATTTACAATGTCACCAGAAAGTGAGAACAGGATTTGCATGGCACTTCTGTAGCCGGCATCGCAACCTATTTACGTGCCAGATATGCTAAACATTCGTATGCCCCTCCGTGCTTTGGCCACCATTCTAGAGGACGTGCTTCCATGCTGATGACGCTCGTTAAAAAAAAATGCATTAATTAAATTTGTGACTGAACTCCTTGGGGGAGAACTGTATGTCCCCTGCTCTCTTTTACCCACATTCTACCATATATTTCATGTTATAGCAGTTTCAGATGATGGCCCAGCACATTTTGTTCATTTTAATAACACTTTCACTGCAGATTTGACAAAAT